GTTGTTCCTTCAACGGTTAAAAGAAGATTTTCTGCCCGTTAAATCGAGTTTTGAACCAAACGCGAAAATAGCTCTACTTTGAAGGCACGTTTTAAAACGTGGCACCTGTTTGAAACTGCTGAACGACATGAATAGAAAGTATAAATGTCCCTTAATTTAAAACAATAATAAAATTTTTCAGCCCACTAGGTTTTCAAAACTAACGACCGCTTAAAGTTCAGGAAATTTTGAAAATATTCCAGTGAGTAACTAACACACTCGCCTTCGTAAAGTGCTCCGATAAATTCCCGTAAATCTCTTACCTGCCTTCAAGATTAAACTCTTCCCATAAAATCCCGTATTTGGTGACCAGCACTTTGTGCTCCGCGTGCCTCCACGAGCGATCTCGCGAGTGTCATGTATAGGAAGCAATTTTTAGTGGCTACATGACTGATCGTGTCAATCAATGTCGATCAATCATGAAAGATGATAGACACACAAGTGAATATAGAAGTTTCTCGGGCTTCATTTTCTTAACTGTCTAAGTTGAGTGTATAACTGTGAGCCACACTAGTTATCGTTTACTTTCTTATTCTTGTAAGCAATAAGAATTGGAAGTAATGGCGCACAGATTTAGAAAGCTAACTAGTTTACCTAAATGATATAAAATGCTGCCGAAGGGAAGGAGGAGTGTAAGGAGTATCAATGCAGAGCAGAGTTGTTACCATACAGAACTCCTGATCGTCGGTAACAGAAACAGGTTTATTTAACTTCCCGGATTACAGCACTAAGCAGCACTAAGCTTCTAGACCTTGAGCTTGCCCTGCAGGCTTTTTTTTTCCTTCTGCGATTTTTTGTTGTTTTTGCCCAAAATAAGAGAGGGCCCGGGCCCCTCGGGCCCCTCCCGTAGATCCGCCACTGGCTTCATTACATTTTTCATTGCTCTCTTACAGACAAAACTCACGCTCTTATCCAAGTGCCATTATTTCCAAGACCCCGTTTTCTCCACCAGACCCCGTGTTTTCCACCAGACCCCGTGTTTTCCACCAGACTCCGTGTTTTCCCCCAGACCCCGTGTTTTCCATACCCCGGGACCCCGTACCCCGGGACCCCG